CTGGTCATTGTACAGAGAAGTCCCCTTCAGCTGAGCTTCAGTGGCATTCTTTGCACTGGCCACCCCATGGAGGACAAGGAGCTGGACGAGCACTCACAGTTGTGTCCTTGAGCACATGCTCTCTCCTTGTCAGCACCTTGACCAGGGCCTCTGTAGCATGGTTAGGTGGGACCCTGATGTCCCTGGGTCCCTTCTGGCTCTTGGGGAGGGACTTGGAAGGAGACAAGATCCTAACACTTGCCATAGCCCCAGGCTCACTTCCTCCAAAGGACTTTCTTACCATCTCTACCCCCCCACTTCCCAGTTGCTCCCCCATCCCTTGCCTGCCTCCACAGCTACACCAGTAGAGGACTCTGACTTATGGATTTTCTGCCACTTCCTGGCTCCCTTCATTCCAGTCTGAGTTGCTAGGACTTCATTACAGCAGTAGCCTTAGCATCCCTAGCATGGAGGTTTGTGAGAGCGTGGATGAATGTTTGTGGGAGGGGCACCCTGTGTTGTTGGCTCCTGAATGTTGTGGGCACCCCCAGCTTCTGGGTTTCAACCTTCCAGGGACCCAGGCTGAAGGGTCTGCCCCAAAGACTAAGAGGCTTTGGGTCAGTCTTGTTACTGCCGGTCTTAGGGTCTTGCAAGAAGTCCCCACTTCAGGCCTTCTCTCACTCTGCCTACTGTCTGGCATGGGCCAAAGAACCCCAGAGCTTAGAGACCCAGCCCCCAGGCCAATCCATTGGAAACAGAGGAGCAATAACCCACCTCAAGGTCACACATACAGTCAACAAGAGAGTTCAGAATCAGATTTGTGACATAAAATGAAACTCCGGATCCATCCACCCAGCTCCATGAAGGAGGCTGGGCCTTTAGCAGGATGCTAATGCTGGCTCCACCTTGCTCCCCCAACCCTGTTTCCTGCCCAGTGCTGCTTGCCCAGCGCCCAGCCGCCTCCCCGGCTCCTGGTCTCCGTTTTTCTTGCTAATTAGAGGTCTCAGCAATGACTCTGCTGTCCCAGCCATTTTAGAGCTGTCATTAATTTCAAGTGCCTTCAGAGATAATCATCATGGTAAAACCCCACGAGCTGCTGGGATGCAAGTGGCAGGACCAGCAGAGAGCAGGCATGCAGGCAGGCCTGTGTGTGCCTTCCTTTCCTGTACCCTGGGGGTCCTTGGGCTCCCCTCACTCCTCCACATCCTCAACCTCCCAGGGTGAGGAGAGAATAGAACAGGACATCACACACATAGAGAGCTTCAAAACCCAGTTCCACTTCTTAATCACTGAGTAACCTTGGACAAATCACCCACTTTCCCAGGGTTTCAGTTTTCTCACCTGTACAATGGGGATAGCAGGGTCAATCTTGAACTGAAAGGATGCATGTAAAGTAGAGCTTTGAGCTTGGCTTACAGTTGTTGTTGTTGTGAAGTGCCGTCGAGTCAGTTCCAACTCATAGCGACCCTGTATAGGGTTTCCTAGGAGCGGCTGGTGAGCTTGAACTGCTGACCTCACAGCTCAAACTGGCCTTGCAGTTCAGCACATTAACCCACAGCGCCACACCAGGGCTTATAGTAGGAATAGAATAAATGTAAGAGGGTCCTTCATTCAGCATTCCCCTCTTCTAGAGTTCCTTGCAGCAATCAGCTCCTGCTTTATTGGGACTTGCTAAGTTTTCACCCGAAACCAGGTTCTCCTGTGTGAAGTCTCAGGTCTGCACTAGGGAGCCTGGAGTGTGAGAAGAAAGAGGGAGGAGTAGTCTCTAGGGCCTTGCCTTAGGGCAGTCTCAGTCTAGGGAAGGGAGACAGGGATAGAAGAGATTTGATCCTGGTTTCAAATCCTGGTTTGATCTTGAAGCATCAGTGGAAACCAGAGAGGAGGCATACCAAGCAAGTGGACTGGCAAAAACAAGGCTCGAGTGTGGGGAACAGTTTTCAGCAGCAGCTCTGGAATATAATGTCTGATTCGTAACCAGAGGAGTCTCCGGCTGGACCACTCTGATGTTTCACATTCTCTGTGGCCTTGGGGACACTAAGGGACTCTAGGGGGGCCCACCTCAACAGATGAAAGCAAAAGCTGAAAAATGCCTGTTCAGCAGCTCAAGCTGAGGCCTCTGACTGGGTGGGCACACATTGACACACACCCCCTTTTCTGTACTCTCACCAGACCAGGCTAGACCTTCTAAAGCTCTTTCCTCAGGTTCCTTCCCCAAGTCTCCCCATCCCATTATCTATCTACTAGGGGCACTAAGACTAGGAGTGCTGGGCGTCTTTTCTTTTGGAGGAATAAGTAAGGGGAAATTACTTGGGAATGGTTTATAACGGGGAACTAAGTCTGCTGGGCAACTCCTCCCAGCCACAGCTCTGTGGTCATCCCCGCTGCCTTTGAGGCGGAGACAAATCTTTGCAAGACCCAGAAGGGCCTATCCCAGACGCCAGTTTCCTCAGCCCGCATCTGGGAATGAGGATGGGGAACGATGGGATGGGGCCCATTACTCCCGCCGGGATCACTGAGGCTGGGAGCAGGTGAGTCGGGGGTGGAGAGATGCCGTGACCGCCGTGCCTGCGTCAGTTGCCGCACCAAGAATAGCCCCGCCCCCGCCCCCTTCTCCTGCGGGCCTTCGAGCCCGCCGGGTGCTTGGCGGAGCCTTTACGCAGGAGCTGGAGAGCGTCTATTCCTGTCGGGCTGGTGGGAGGAGGCGGCGCGGGAGGGCGGGAGCTCACGGGTAACTCACAAACAGCCTAGGCGGGGGAAGCTGGGAGTCTGGGAAAAGGGTCCTGGAAGCACAGAGTTGGGGGACGAAGGAACCGCCTGCGCTGGGCTCTTGAAAGAAGAATGACTTCAGTGCCCTTCTTCCCACTTCCCCTCCCACCTGTAAGTCCCTCTGCCAAGCCTGCCTCCTACCGATTTACTGAATTATTCGAGTTCCTTTTTCTAGTCCATATTAGCTGTGTGACCGTGGGCAAGTCATTTAACCACTCTGAGCCTGTATTTTCGTCTCTCTGTCAAATGGAGAAAAATAGTGCCACCTCTCAGGAGGATGAATGTAGAGAGCATCGCCACCAGCTATGGGTGAGTTTAGGATGATGGTGGAGGTCTAAGACATAGAAGCCAGGAGAGTTCTCCAAGCAGGACTGTCCAGAGCAGCGAGGCTGAGATATATCCTAGAATTGTCTAATGGAAACACAAGTTCTGTGAAGCTCTGGAAGTGGTGGTGTGTGGGGCTTAATAATGGAGCTGGTGCTGGGGGTGGAGGCGTGGGGAGTGATGGGTGGCCTGGTCCAACAGGCTTTCCATGGTCCAGGGCACTGGGATCAGACTCCAGGATCTGCCTAGAGACTTAAGAGGATCAGTCTTGTCCCTGCCAGTCTCAGCGTCCTTCTCCGCCTGCTGGAATCTGTAGACCTGTGGGCTAATAAGGATACTCCCAAAGTGGGTAAGAGGTGATGTCAGCATTGGTGGCTTTTCTTATTTGTAGTCAGATTAGTTTGGCGTTGAAGGGCATCTGGCTTCAAGGAGATTAAGGGGTGTACTGTGGATGGAGACGGGGTCTAAAGGGTTGTAGTCCACTCTGCAGGCTTTACCAAGGCATCCCCCCACCAGCCATTTCTCATTCTCTGCGAGACAAAAAGGATTTTTATCTCTGAGAGGTCCCATTCCTTGGGCACATCTGAGGATGTGGCTCCAACCCAGATAGCTTGAAGAACCGGGCGGGGGCAGCCAAAACCAAAATAAGGCACCGCGCTGCCCTCTGCTGGTGCCGTAGTGCAGTAGCCGCGGCAAGAGGCGGCTAGAAGTGTGGTCTGCCCTCTGCTGGAAAAGAAGCGCGTCTGGGCGGGGACCCGGCCTGCAAAGTGTGTGTGTAGCGAAGAGGGTGGGCGCAAGCCTCCAGTCAGTGTAGAGGCGCCGAGTCGGCGCTCCTTCCTCGCGGTCACCTGGAGCTTCCCGCTCTGACCGCGCCCCCCGAAAGGCCGCCAGAATATGGGTCCTTCAGGAGTTCGCGGACATTTCCGAGAGGAGGGTACGAAGTGCAGGACGGAAGCTCTTGATTTGATCCTTCCCACTCCGTCCTCCAAAAAACCCTGGCCAGGTGGAAAGCCCTGTTCGTTCACGCCACTCCACACGGTAGTGTGCATTGACCCCAGGTACACGTGTGAGCACAGTCACGCGCTCACATGAGCACGCCTGTGGCTCCACACAATCACACGCTAAGGTGAGCACACACATCAAGGAGGATCTCAGGCCGGGCTGGCCCGGGACTCACCTTGAGCCCGGGACCCACGGGGTGCGGCCGTGCCCAGGGTTGGAACGCCGGGGTGCCGGCTCAGATTGGAGGCTGGCGCGCCCTAGCCCCCTTGCCACTTTCGCTGCCTTAGCCGTTCTGGGAAAGGGTCGCGGGTACTGCTCACTCTCCGCCCCCTTCTATAGAAGACGACAAGCCCCCCCAACCCCACCCCCATCTCACTCGGTTTAGCGGCCGCACCTTCTCCTCCCCCGCCCAGCTCCAGCCGCTCGCTTGCTTGCTCGCTTGCTCCCTCCCTTCCTCGGTCCCTCCTCCCTGCCTGGCTCGCTCCCCGCTTGTCGCGCTCCCTCCCCGCGCCGCGGCAGAGCGCGGAGCCCGAGCGGGAGCCGGCGCGGGAGCCAGAGCGGGAGACTGGCCACAGCACAGGCGGCGGCGGGGGGTCCGGGTCTCGGCCCCGGAGCGCGCGGAGTCCCCACCCGCGCAGCTCCGGCCCCTCTCCCGTAGCGGGGTTCTTTGCAGAATGAGCGAACGCTGCGCGCCGGCCCCAGCCCTGGCCCCGGCCCTGCGGCGGAGCGCGCCCGGCCTCGACCCCGGCCCTAGCGGCAGAGGCGGCGGCGGCGGCGGCTCTGGACCGGCCCGGGGAATAAAATACGACTCCGGGAGCCCGCGTCGCGCGTCTTGAGCGCGCCTGCCTCTTCGCCCGCCGGGGCCGCGGCCTCTCGCTTCCCCACGCCCGGGCCCTTGTTTAGGCTCCGGCTTGGCTCTTGCCCGCTTAGGGCAGATAGACGGACCGCCAGCCCCGCGAGGGCGCGCGGACAGTCGGGCGGAGGTGTTGGAGAAAGAGCAGGGGACGTAGGAGGAGGCTGAGCAGGGGCTGGGGCCGGGCCGGACCCGCGGGGGAGACATGCGATTGGTGACCGAGTCGAGCGGACGGACGGCGCGCCCGAGATGCAGGTGAGCCAGGCGGCCGCGGCGGAGCCCAGCAGCTGCAGCCCCGCGGGGAGCGTTCCTGGGGGCCGCCGTCGGCCCGAGCTGCGCCCTCCTGGGACTGTCGGACTCCCCGGCACCACCCAAACCTCCCTTTGGGAACCGGGGCCTGACCCGGTTATCCTCACCCCAGAAAATTCTAGGGTGGCAAGCTGAAATACGGGAGCTCCAGAGTGGTTCCCACCGGCGCTTTCTGGCCCCCCCCCCCCATTCTGAACACGAATCACCCTGGAGGTTAAGTCCCTTTCCCAGCGCTGGGCACCTCTCTCCATAGACCTCCGATACCCTCAGCTCCCACCCCACGCCCACACCAGGCACCCCAAGCTGTTGCAGGCAGGGACGACCCGGGTTTCTGTTCACGGGCTCCAGGCTGGCCAGCATCTCTCACCCTACACAAGGGGTGGCCTTTGCAGCGTCAGCTCAGTGAAGGGGAAGAAAGGGCATGTAGGAGAAGGTAGAGAGAGTGGAGGGGAGAGAGTTGAGGGTCAGAGAGGACCAATGGACCCTTTGGGGGGCTTCCTCTTTGTCTACCTTCAGCCAAAGATTCTCATCTCCTCTGCCCCACTTTTCATTCTGAGGCTGAAGCAGGTGGGAGGTGGGAACCAGCTGAGAAGAGGGAGATAAAAAGGGAGCCTAGTGCTCTACCTCCCTCCAGCCCCCATCTTGGGCACCCTCCGTGGGGTGGGCTCCTGCTCCTCCAGGGAACCCTTGGAGATGTGTCCCCTCCAGGCAGATTTCCACTTTAAGGAGGAGGGGTGGGGCCAGGCCCAATAGGCAGTCCCCTCCCTCTCTTGCCCTGGGTCCCAGCTCAGCCTTGGTTGTACAGGGCACCTCTTCTTTGTTCTCAAAGGTCCTCAGATTTGGGGCGGAGAAAAGGGACATCTGAGAGGATTTGACCAGCTCTGCCCTGGTGGGAGTACAGGAGGTCCTGAGGTGGGGAAGAGGTACCATCGGGCAAGCCCCTTCCTGGCCAGCCCAGCCCAGCCTTCCTCAGTCCTATTCCTCTGGGGTAGCCAGAGGGGCATACAGCCCAGCCCACCCCGGCCCCGTTGCTCGTTGCTCAGGACTCAGCCCTGCTGGTCATTATGCCACCGGTTTCAGCATGGGTGCCTTCCAGACCTGGGAGCAGTGAACCAGGCACCCAGCCTGCAGAGGTCCTGGGGCTTCCCCAGATCCAGCGCCAGTGAGGGGAAAGAGGGTCAGCTGCTCCCAGATCCTTTGTCCTTGTGTTGGCCAGGAGGGGCTCAGAGTCCTCAGGCCTCTGGGAAGGGACCAGCACCTGTTCTGCTGGGACACCCTTCTTGTCCTTCCTGCCTTCTACCACTGCCCTGAAGGCAGGCTGTAGGGGAGAGGGTAGCAGAAGGGAGAGACCCCCAAACTCTTTGAAATCATGATGGCCACAGTCCTAGGGAGGAGTCCCAGCTGCACCAGGCTGCCCTTGCTGAAGGCAGGCCCCCTTATATGCTCTTGTCATCTCTGCCCCACCCCCACCATTTAAATGTGAGGCCGGCAGGCTTGGCAGGGCTTGGTTAAGACTGCACTGTTCCCTAGGACTTGGAGTTAGAGTGAATTTCAGAACCAAGGGGCCAGGTTGTAGGGGTGTGTGTGTGTGTGTGTGTGTGTTTTCAGGCTGAGGTATTGCTTGTGGACTGAAGGATGTTGTGTGGAAAGACCCCTCTACTCCTTGCAAATAGTCTTCTTTCAGTCTAGGGGTCATCTCCTCCATTCTTGGCCTCTGAACACCAATTCTTCCCATATTAGGTATTGTTTTTGTGAAGTGCAGAATTTGTAAAGAAAACCCCAAAAACCACTCTGTGAGGGTGAGTAGGCAGATCCCTGATACCAGTGGTGGCTCATCTGGTGCTGCTCCTCAGGAACCAACAGAAGCTAAGAGGAACACCATGGGGGGAGACACGGGGTGAGGGAGCACGGGAGGGTCTTGTTGAAAAAGTAGGCATTGCAGTGATGAATGCAGGCCACATGAGCGTCTGAGGCAGCGTTGTCTGGGGGAGGGTTGAGGAAGTGGATCCTGTGGGACAGGGCAGGGCTGGGAAAGGGAGGCTACTGAGTCAGGGTCTTGGTTTGCTTGGCTGGGGTCCCTTGGTTTAACTGTTCTATCCATGACAAGTCCAGGTGTGGAATGATACCTCCCAGCCTCTTCCACACCCCCACAGCCCCAGGCTCTCTACTGCTCCCACCAGTCCCACCACGTACCTCTGCAACCTTAACATAGTTTGATCCAGCATCCCTACCCAGAAGGCCTTCTCTCCATCTCGTGGCTCCTCCCCAAGAGTCTGATCCAAATTACTATCCTCTTTCTCTAGACACCCACAGTAGATCCCCATTGATTTGCATTTGTACCAACCCATTCATTCATGCTGTATTCTGCATATCTTGGCAGAGCTGTCTGCTTGGCTATGGGTTAGGCCCTCCCATGGCACCCATGTTGTCTTGAACACCTGGGCAATCCTTGTAACCATCCCTAGAACTGGGCAGATACTGGGAGGCAGGCACCAGGGAGCAGCTGTTGACTGGCAGCAAAGACTAGCTGCAGGGGACATGGTGTCCCTAGCCTGTATGGATGGAGAGAGTTAGGTGGTATTAAAGATACCCAAGACAGAGATTGGGGACCAACACTGGCTGGTAGACCCTCATAGATGACGCTAGTTTAATTCCCTGCAGATGGGAAGACTCAGCTTTCCGTCTCTCAGAGCCAAGTCTCATGCAGCATACCCAATAACACACACAGGGAAAGGTACGATTTCTCCAGGGTGCTGAGGCTGTCAGGGAGAGAGGAACTGGGCTGGGCACTGAGGTAGCAGTAGACTTTGCAGAAACACAGAGAACAGGGGATTCCAGAATTCCTAAGTCCAGGAAGATTTTTATAGTCAAAATGAGCAGGCAAGTACATTGCCAAATGCATTTGAGACATTCTTGATGTTGACCTTTGTTTATGTATTGAATGAATGAATGAGCATCCTTGAGTGTAGTGGGCCCAGTAGAATTGTACTGAGAACAATATACTCATGTGTTTTTTCCATGTTATTTTATAGTGAAGATGCTAAGAGTGTAAACTGTATAAAACCAGCTGGCAGAGTTCAGTTCTCACCTTCACTACTGCCTAACTCTGTGACTCTGGGCAAGTTACCTAATCTCTCTGGGCATCAGTCTCCTTATCCATAAAATAAGGAAAACAACACTGTACTTCCAGGGAGAATTAGAGGGATTGCTATGTATATGTAGCGTATTTTTTGCTAGAACAGTATCTGGTACAAACGAAAATCTCAAAAATGCTAGCTGTGAGTTTCTATCAGCGATATGCTCTCTGTCTTATTCTTTTAGGGGGTACCAAGACTATTTTATAGGTGAGAGAACAGACAGCCAGGGAGGTGAAAGGACTTGTCCTAGCTCTCTAGTTAATAAGCCTGGGCCCCATCTAGAATTCCTTCATCTTGACCTCTGATCTAGGGCTCCAGCCACGACCTGCTAATGAATTAATCAGTTTATTTAGTGTTCTTCATAATAACATAATAAATAATCTAGTGCACACCGTGAACCCACTCCCCACCCTGACAACAGCACTTTATCTTTCCATGAACTCTCTTCACCTCCACCCCTTGGCCTCTTTTTCTGAGGCAACCACTGTCCTTGTGTATTTATGTTGTGTATTTAGCATTTCCTTGCCTTTTAAACATAGTACAGTTTAATGCATATCAGTTGTTCAATTTTAGTTGTTTTTGAATTGTATAAAAAACAAAGTGTTTGCATTTCTCTAGAACAGGCTTTTTGGGGGTTCACATATTCTTGGTGGTAGTTTTCCATGGAGTCAGTTCCAACTCATAGTGACCCTGTATTGAGTTTCCAAGGCTATAAATCTTTACAGGAGCAGGAAGTCTCATCTTTCTCCCACAAAACATCTGGTAGATTCGAACTGCTGACCTGTGGTTAGCAGCTGAATTCTTAACCCACTATGCTACCAGAGCGCCACTTATCTGTATTGTTACAGATAATAGCAGATGGAGGTCATTCATTTTTGCTGTTGTATAATGTTCTATGTTGCTGGTGTTAAATGCCATTGAGACAGTTCCAACTCATAGCAACCCTATATAGGGTTTCCAAGGAGCAGCTTGTGGGTTTGAACTGCCGACCTTGTTCTATAGTACACGGTATATATTGTTCTCTTGTTGATGGTGGGCATTTAGGTCGCTTCATTTATTTATTTATTTTTTACTCTTGTATATAATGCTACCATGAACTTTCTTGCTATCCTCTAGGACAATGTGCAGAGTGTCTCTGGGGCACATAGGAGGGAGCAGCATTATTGGGCCATAGGGCGTGCGCATGTTTAGCTTTACTAGGGAACTCCAAAGTGTTTTTCAAATTGGTTGGACCAACTCAGACTGCCCTCAGCAGGAGATGAGTGTTCTCATTCTCCCTCTGCTTACCAACCCTCAGTATTGTCAGATGTCTTGATTTTTGCTGATCAAATGAGTGTAAAATGATATTTCAGTATTGTCTTGATTTATGGTTCTGGCGTTCAGGGTTTCTGGCGTATGGAATGGGGATGGATGCTCACTAAACAATCATCCTCACCTTAGCTCAGTTTCCCTATTTGTGGGGATGCTGCGTGAACAAGGGAGGGTTTCAGTCCCTGTACCTTTAAAGCCAAGTCCAGGAACCCTACTGGCTCTCTATTCTCCCCAGAATGGGAAGGGGTGGCCTGAGTTTGGGAAGTGGAGGAAATCTGTGCTGCATTAATTCAATGTTCCCTCCCTGCACAGCTCCCTAAAACCCCCATCTCTACACTCTGGCAGTTAGCATAGGGCCTGGCATCAGTAAGTGCTTAATAAGAGTTTGGTGACATGGGGAATGAGTACCAGATGAAACCAATGTGTGACTGAGTGAGTGGTGGACCGCTGAGCAAGGAGGCCCCTGGGAATCATAGGGCCCCATGAAGCCTCAACCCC